TTCCACAGCACCACGTCCGCATCCACCAGCTACGGGGGGGGTAGGGGGGGCAGGGGGATGAATGGGAGCAGGAGGGGGAGCCTAGGCTGTGTCTAAGGTGCATGCACCGAGCACCACACGGCCGGGCGTGCTGCTCTCCACTCTCCCACTCTCATGCCGTGCCGGCCTTCATAGGTGCTCGCGAACAGCACTTGCCCCAACAGTCTGTTACTGGCTACGCGGGGGATCTGTGTCTTTGTAGGTGTGTGTGCGCGTGCGTGCGTCACACTCACGAACACGAACTCTGCTCCCAGGCTCCTGGCCGTGTCGAGCGCCTCCTGGCGCAGGCTCAGCACGTGCTGGAAGCGAGCACGTGACCAGTGCTTGCAGCCCTTCTCGCCGGGGTACGGGCTGTACCACACACAAAGACAAAGACCCCCCCCCCCCCGCCGCGCCGTATAGCCTTAGGGGCGGTCCATAAATGACGTCACGCGATTTTGGATGGTTTTTTGACCCCCCCCCCAAATCATATTTCCATTTTGAAAATAAAACATGCTTCAAATCGCTTTAAACTATTGTCATTGTAGTGCGTATTTAATGTGGCGCTGCACTCTGATGTTGTAGGAGAAAACATTTATTAAAAAGTCTATTTAATTAAGTAGAACGTATTGTCTATATTTGCGCATTTTGATGTGACGTCACATTTCTCAAACCCCCTCGCCACACATCGTCACAAATATCTGACCCCACCCCCCCCACCCCCTAGGTGCGTGACGTCATTTATGGACCACGGCCGACCACCTTTGTCTCCCCAGTGACGTTGTTTACTACACCGCACCGGGGCCTCATTTGAGGCTGAGTCGACCTAGCCAAACACACTCACATATACCTGCGTGTATGCACAGGTAGACAGGAGGCTGACAGACAGACAGGTAGAGAGACCGGCGGAGACTCCGCGTTGTCTCACCTGTGCGCGTCGTCCACGTGTACCTCCACGCTGCGGTAGACGCTTCGTGCCCCCTCCGCCCACTCCCGCACTACCCGGATCGTGTCGTCCTCATTGTGGTCCGTGGACAGCCTGGCGAGGGGACGCGGGGACGCGGGGGACACGGGGGACACGGGGACATGTAGATATGGCACATGGGATTTACGGGGTGTGTGTATGTGACCCTCAGTGGCACGGAAACCTGATCATTGTCGTCATCAGCATCACGATCAAAATAATCAAAATGTTCACCGATACCATCAAACTCATCATGACCAACAACATCAAAAGTGAACGATCATCATCTCCAACCATTATCAACATCGCTATGACCATGATAATGATCATATTAAACTTAATTATCACAATCTCGGAATAAGCATGATAATAGAATTATTCATAATCATCGTGATTAATGTATTTAGTGTTCTAAGTTGTGGTGCCATGGACAAGACCACGTGACCACGCGTGCAACGTGGCGAGCCCAACAAACACTCATGCGCACAACCATACACACGATAAAGACAAAGATCCCCCGTATAGCCTTTAACAGACTGTTAAGGCAAGGGCTGTTAGCGAGTGGCACCTATAAAGGTTGGCAAGGCACACGTGGGGGTGGTGTGGCAAACACCAGGCCCGGCCGCCTTTGTCTCCCCCAGTTCGAATGCTTAGACACCGCACCAGTTACTCATTTAAGGATGCCCACTGTGCCCAAGGTGCCCCATACAGACTTCAACAGACTGTTGGAGCTGTCAGGGGAAAGTGTTTAAGGCCTGCATGGTGTACGAGGGGGGTTGTGGCCAGACCCACGGCCCCACTGGCCCAGCTACTCATTTAGGGCCGAGTAGACCTAGGGGGAGGCCCAAGACCGGTTCAAATATTCAGCCGCGAGCGGGAATCGAACTCGGATCGCCGGGTTCTGAGCGCAGCGCGCTCACCAATTGTACCAAAGACTCTACACGCATACAGACACTCACGTACAACACACACAGCTGCAGGCACAGACACCCGCACGTGAACTCTCCCCACATCCACGACCACATTCCGACATGGGAATCCGTGCTGTGGCTCAGACCGCCACACACAGACACACGAAGACAAAGACCACCCCCCATTTACAGACTGTCGGGGCAAAGTGCTGCGAGCGAGTAGCACCTATGAAGGCCGGCACGGCACACGAGGTGGTTGGGTGGCCAGCACCACGCCCGGCCGCCTTTGTCTCCCTCGTGACGATGTTTACACACCGCACCGGGTACTAGTTTAAGGCCGAGTCGACCTAAGCGAGGCCCAGGACTGGTAGCAGATATTCCGGAATGGAACTCGGGTCGGCGGGTTCGTAGCGCAGCGTGCTAACCGCTGCGCCACCGCTCCCCACACTACACACGCATTGACACGTCTGTGAGTTGGAGCGCAATAACTACAGTGCGTCCCACCGTGTGTATCTGCCCGGCACACCACGTCCAGTATTCCCACCTGGCTACCGACTATGCGTGCCCTAGGCAAATGAGTACCCGGTGCGGTGCGTAAACATCACCACTGGGAAGACAAAGGCGGCCGGGCGTGGTGTTGGCAACCCACCCACTCGTGTGCCGTTTGCCTGCCTTCATAGGTGCTGCTACTCGCTAACAGCACTTAGCCCAACATTCCGTTACAGGCTACACGGGTGGATCTTTGTATTTGCACAAGCGTGAACACTTACATGTGTGTGGGCGTGTACATGTGTGTTTACGCGTGTGTGTGTGTGCGTGTACACGTGTGTGCGCGCGTGTGTCCGCATGTACACGTGTGTGCGCGTGTGTCCGCGTGTACACACGCGTGTGTGTGTGTCCGCGTGTGTGTGTGCGTGTGTGTACACACGCCGTGTACCAGAAGGCGAGTCTCCGCGGGGGGTACGTCTGCCTCTCCAGCGCGCCCAGGCAGTAGGGCAGGCTGTGCGCCGCGTTCCTCGCGACCACAGCCACCAGCACCAAGGGCTCCCCCTCCGCCCCTTGACCCCCCTGATCCCCTTGACCCCCCTGATCCCCTTGAGCCCCCTGCCACTGGGTCCGCGAGCCCGATGGGAGCAGCAGGAGGGGGATCAGCAGGAGGAGCGCGTGGAGCGAGGGAGGCATGGCCACGCAATTGCGGCAAGGGGGGGGGGGGGGTCCCTGCTCCCTCCTGCTCCCTCTCCCAACTCTCCCGACTCTCTCTCTTCGCTCTCCCCTTTCCTCCCAGCTCTCCCTTCTGCTTCCCCCCCCTCCACCCGGTCCCGGCTCACTACCGCCTCTCCCCTCCCAGCCGAGCTCCCAGACCCCTCGCCGTCTCCCTCGACCTCCTTCCTCTCCCCAGCTCCCTGCCACTCAGCCTCTTTGTGCAACTCTCTGCGTGCGTCTCCACTCGTCCTGTTAACTCCCTCCCCTCTCCCCCACACCCCTTTCTCCCTAACACAACCTCCCGCTGGCTCTACGTCTCATCCCCTCCCTCCCTCCCATCTCTCACAGACTTTCCGCTCCCTCCTCACGGCTGGACCCTCTCCCGGTTCCGCTCCCCACCTCTCCCTCCTGTCCCCAATTCTCCAACCCCTCTCTCCCGACTCGCTCTCTCCCACTCTCCAATCCCTATCTCCCGACTCGCTCTTTCCCACTCTCCAATCCCTCTCTCCCGACTCGCTCTCTCCCAGACACTCCAACCCCTCTCTCCCACTCTCCAATCCCTCTCTCCCGACTCGCTCTCTCCCGACTCGCTCTCTCCCAGACACTCCAACCCCTCTCTCCCGACTCGCTCTCTCCCACTCTCCAATCCCTCTCTCCTGACTCGCTCTCTCCCACTCTCCAATCCCTCTCTCCCGACTCGCTCTCTCCCACTCTCCAATCCCTCTCTCCCGACTCGCTCTCTCCTACTCTCCAATCCCCCTCTCCCGACTCGCTCTCTCCCACTCTCCAATCCCGTTCTCCCGACTCGCTCTCTCCCACTCTCCAATCCCTCTCTCCCTACTCGCGCTCTCCCACTCTCCAATCCCTCTCTCCCGACTCGCTCTCTCCCACTCTCCAACCCCTCTCTCCCGACTCGCTCTCAACCAGACTCTCCAACCCCTCTCTCCCGACTCGCTCTCTCCCACTCTCCAATCCCCCGCTCTCCCGACTCGCTCTCTCCCGACGCTCTCTCGCTCCGGACTCTGCTCACCCCCCATCCCCCGCCGTCTCTCTCCTTGGCAAACCACGTCCTCCCAACTCCCCAGTCTCTCCCCTGCCAATAACCACCAACACCAACCCCCAGCCAGAACATAACCACAACCCTAAACCCTGTAACACTCGCCTGAACGTTACCATTGATCCTAAGTATGCTTTACACAGAGCACCCGCGTACGACAGCCACGCTCACTCACGAATATGCGGTGACACTTTGCCAAAAAAGCAACGCTCGCTCGTGGACATGAAAATAATATATTTAATGCAATTCTCACCACTCGTACACATTTAAGAAACTTGGACCCCCGTATGACAGCCACGCCCACTCATTAATATTTAAATTACCCCACCCAAAGCCACTTCCAAACCTGAGTATTCCAAAGTGTACCCATTTGACAGCCACTCCCGCTCATGAATATTTAAATATCCCAACAAATAAAGCCCCACCCACTCGCACTCTTGCAAAGTGCACTCGGTGAGCACACCCAGTCATGAATATTTAAATTGCCCCACACCCAAAGCCACTTCCAAACCTCAGTACAGTATTACAAAGTGTACCTATTTGCCAGCCACTCCAGGATATTTAAATTTCCCTCTGCCCTTTAAAATGACACCCGTTCAGTGATGTCGCAGTTTTGTGTTTGCATCATGGTGCGTGAGTGAGGGTGCCGTGTTAATTATAGCCTTCACCGGTGACGATTATCTGAAAAGGTCCTGGGCCTCCCCTGCGTCGACTCGACCTCAAATGAGTACCTGGTGCGGTGTGTAAACATCGCCACTGGGAAGACATGCAGCCGGGCGTGGTTCTGGCCACCCACCCCCTCGTGTGCCATCACGGCCTTCATAACTTATCGCTAACAGCACTTGCCCCAACAGTCTGTTAAGGCTATAATACGGGGGGGGCTCTTGTCATCGGTGCGCGTGTGTGTATCACAGTGTGGTGCACTGCATATCACGGTGCGCTGTGTGGTGCGCTGTGTGGTGCGCTGTGTGGTGCGCTGTGTGGGGTGCTGTGTGGTGCGCTGCGTTATTGCGTAGGATGCACGAGGAAGTCCCATCCCTCGCTCCAGCGCAGCGAGGAGAGCTGCTGGGCGGAGAGCGCCGGGGTGCCCTTCGAGAGGGGGGCGAGCTGCACGTGGCTCGCGTAGACGGCGGCCAGCCACGCCACACAGCCGGCCAGCAGCGCGTACCGGCCAGCCGGGGACCTGCAGCACAGAGACGCAAGACAAAGTTTTCCCGGGCGTACGGGCGTACGTGTGCGTACGTGTGAGTACGTGTGTACGTGTGAGTACGTGTGTACGTGTGAGTACGTGTGTGTAAGCGCTACGGCCTGACGAGATGGGCGTGTGTGCGCATGCGTAAGTCCTAGGACCTGACGAGGTGGGCATGTGTGTGTGGGTGTGTGCGTGGGTGTGTGCGTGGGTGTGTGCGTGGGCGCGCGCGTAAGTGCTAGGACCTGACGACGTGTGTGTGCGCGTGCTCCAGCAATGCGGGGATGAGCAGTGTGTGAAAGGTGGCCGCGGGGAGGTAGTGGTAGAGGAAGAGGCCTCGCTCGGTGAGCAGGTACGGCACAAAGTGCATCGCCCAGCCGCCCAGGCCCAGCCAGCCGGCCAGCAGGAACCGCTCCCAGCACTCTGATAGCACCGACACAGAGACACACAGAGACACACAGAGACAAAGACAAACACAAACATAAAGACAAACACAAACATAAAGACAAACACAAACACAAAGACGCGGGGATGCAGAGGCAAGAGACGCAGCCAGTCGCCCAGGCCCAGCCAGAACAAACCTCTCCCAGCACTAACACAGAGACAGAGACACAGAGTGGACAGAGGTGGCACGGGGGGGGGGGGATTTAAGGAATCGAACCAGCGACCTCTGGATCGCGAGTCCAGTACGATAACCATTACACCGCAGCTGCACCCGATGCACGGAAACAAACATCCCCCGTATAGCCTTAACAGACTGGAGGAGCAAGTGCTGTTAGCAAGCACCTATGAACGCTGGCACAGGGTACTCGTTTGAAGCCGAGTCGACCTCAGGGAGGCCCAGGATCGGTTCAGATAATCGTCACCGGTGTTGGTGGCCATGAGCGGCAATCGAACTCGGGTCGCCGGGTTCGTAGCGCAGCGTAGCGCTAACCGCTACACCACCGCTCCCCAGACGTACACGCACGGATTAATGTGTCGCTGAATATGGATTTTCTCCGGGTTGCTTGTAAACCGCGTGGAGTCGGCTCGTATCGCGGCGCGCTAACCACTGCGCCACCTCTCCCCACAACGCGACACACGGAGCGCGTGCTCGGGCCCCTATGGGCTGGCCCCGGCGTTGACTGGCCCCAGCGCTGACCGGCAGGTAGGTCGGAGATGCCGCGCTGACGGCGCAGGAGGTAGCGGACGAGGCACGCGCAGTAGAGGAGGAGGCACACGCAGGCAGACACCCAGAGCCATGGGTTGGGCAGCAGGTGGATCTGAGCCTGGGATGTAGCAACACCATCGCCATCATTGCATTATCCACGACATCATCATCATGGACATCGTCAACATCATCAAGTTATCATCATGGACATTAACGACACTTATAAACGTCATCTGTGAGTGTGTATGTATATATATACACACGGCAGCGGTAGTCTCATGGTTAACGCGCTGCACTACGAACCCAGCGATCCGAGTTTGATTCCCGCTCACGGCCAACACCAGTAACGATTATCTGAACTGGTCCTGGGCCTCCCCTAGGTTGATTCAGCCTCAAATAAGTACCTGGTGCAGTGTGTAAACATCGCCACTGGGGAGACAAAAGCAACTGGGCATGGTGCTGGCCACCGACCCCTTCGTGTGCCATTTCGGGGTTCATAGGTGCTCGCAAACATAACTTGCCCTAACAGTCTATATGGGGGGCCTTTGTTTGTATAGACAGTGAGGGAAAAAGTATTTGATCACCTGCTGATTTTGTACGTTTGCCCACTGACAAAGAAATGATCAGTCTATAATTTTAATGGTAGGTTTATTTGAACAGTGAGAGACAGAATAACAACAAAGTACTAAGTCATGTTTTGCAGAGGGGTCAAATACTTATTTCCCTCATTAAAATGCAAATAAATTTATTACATTTTTGACATGCGTTTTTCTGGATTTTTTTGTTATTATTCTGTCTCTCACTGTTCAAATAAACCTACCATTCAAATTATAGACTGATCATTTCTTCGTCAGTGGGCAAACGTACAAAATCAGCAGGGGATCAAATACTTTTTTCCCTCACTGTATCTTCGCGTAAGTATATAGTCCCATTGGTGAGCTCCTCCGGCAGGCAAGGCTGTGTCGGCTGGGTCATGTACCCCGCATGCCCAAGCAGTTTCTGTTTGACTGGGTAGAGGGGGCGAAACGGGCATGGCACAGGCTGGAGAAGAGATGGGCTGATGTTGTAGAGAAGGATATGGAGCCAATTGGACTTGTTGAAGACTGGTACCAGCGGTGTCAAGATCGGCCTCTGTGAAGGAGGCTCATGAAGGATGCTACTGGGCAGTTGGGCAGAGAAGCAACGCTCACAACAAGGGGATACAATTCAGCAAGTTGGCACAGTAGGGGGTACACGTGGTGCATCTAACAGTCATCTCAGTCCGTCAACCCATGGCACCTCGGTCTGTCCCGTGACCTTCTGCCAGCAGAGAGCCCCCCCCACACTTCACGTGACGGCCTCAAAGTGCACATGGCCTGGCACGAGCGCTATGGTGACGTCACCGCCCTTTGAACGGCGGCTGTGTGCACGTGTGTGTAATTGCGAACGTACGTTGGTGTGAGGGTCCATCCAGTAGGCGATGCTGGAGCTCATGCGGAGCCACTGCAGAGGCGTAGAGATGTACCTGTGCTCCTGCTCCTCCACGCGGAATGTCAGCATCTTCCACTGATACAGAAAGACAAAGATCCCCCGTGTACCCTACGCAGACTGTTGGGGCAAGTGCTATTAGTGAAGCCCAACAAGGCACATGAAGGTGTGGGTTTCCAGCACCACACCCGCCCCAAATTTTTTACAGATTGCAAAAGGTACTCATTTGAGGCTGAGTAGACCTAGGAGACACACACATATACAAAGATAAAAAAATATCCCCCGTATAGCCTTAACAGATTGTAGGGGCAAGTGCTGTTAGCGAGCACCTATGAAGGTCGGAACTACACGAGGGGGTGGGTGGCCAGCACCACGCCCGACCGCCTTTGTCTCCCTAGTGGCAATGTTTACACACCGCACCAGGTACTCATTTGAGGCTGAGTCGACCTAGGGGAGGCCCGGGACCGGTTCAGATAATCGTCACTGGTGTTGGCCGTGAGCGGGAATCGAACCCGGGTCGTCAGGTTCATAGCGCAGCGCGCTAACCGCTACACTATCGCTCCCCACATATACATACATAAACAGACATACACTCACCCATCCAGACCCTAATATACTCACTCTCACCTTTCCGTTTTCTCACATGTGGACTCATCCACCCACTCACCCTCTAACTCATCCACTCACTCAATGACCACGTGCAATGAAGGCCCATTGCTTGAAACGTTGACGATTATATTTTCTTTGAAGGCCATGGTGTTAATGACGAACATGTTGAGTTTTCTTCATTCACCTCACTCACCCACTCACCCAACCAACCACTCGCTCGCCCACCCACCCCAGAAGTTGCTCACTCACCCATCCACTCATTTGCTCGCTTGCCCACTCACCCACTTCCTTGCTCAATAACCCATCCACTCCATAACTCGCTCACTCCCTCGCTCACCCTGCCGCTTACCCGCCCCGCTCACCCTGCCGCTCACCGGCTCACTCACCCCGCCGCTCACCTGCAACTCGTAGAACTTGGCGAGGAATCCCAGGTCGTGGGGAACGTGCTTAGGGATCGGAGAGCGCAGCTCCTGCTCGCGCTCCGCCTGCTCCTGCGCTGATCCGGGGTAATCCGGCGTAACGCAGGGTAACGCGGGGTAACGTGGGGGTAACACAGGTTAACGTGGGGTTACGCAGGGAAATGTGGGGTAACGCGGGATAACATGGGTAACGTGGGTAATGTGGCGTAACGTGGGGGTAACACAGGCTAACGTGGCGGTAACACAGGGTAACCTGGGGTAAGGTGGGGTAACATGGTGGCGAGTTCTCGGTGCAGGAGTCAGTCGTGGTGTTGTGGCCGTGTCATGGAGTGGCAATCGAGAGGAAGTGTGTTGTGAGTGTTGGCGAGTGTTGGTGAGTGTTCGTGCCGGTGTTATTGGTAAGGCCGTGGCCGTGGCGCTGTGATAATATTGTTGTTGTCGTGTCCTTCCTCACAGCGCCCGTGGCGGTGCTCCTCCACGGTCCAGCGTGACCCCGGGTGGACCGGGCGCAGCGTGAGGTCGGCCACCACCTCCGGCTGCCCGTGGCCCCACTCGGGCAGCACCGCCCCGCTCACCTGCGCCGCACCACGCCACCCACACGCACATCAGCAAGCGGCCCACACCAGGCTAGGTGCGCTCAATAACCACGTGGAGGTTGGTGGTATGAATGCACTATCGATGGGGGTGGTGGTGATGGTGACAAAGAGAATGGTGGTGATGATGAGGGTGGTGGTGGTGGTGGTAATGATGATGGTGGTGGTGGTGTAAATATAAAGGTAGTGATGATAATGATGGCGAAATTTGAGTTGATCCGAAGGCAGCAGAGGGGATCAAGGTGGTAGGGAGAGGGGACTGGTGGTAGCGGAGAGACCCCACCCGCAGCACGGTGCTCGTGTTCACGTGGATCAGCTGAACGTCCGACACGATGGTTTTCCAAGAGTCGCTGTCCGAGGCACGGTTCAGCACCTCCTGCGTGGACATGAACAGTGAGTGAGTGTGAGTGAGTGCGAGACTGAGCATTGTCACACCATATGCCCAAGCAGCTTATGTTTGGCTGGATAGAGAGGGCGAAACGGGTACGGCATGGGCTGGAGAAGAGATGGACTGAAGTGGGTATGGGAGGGCGTGGAGCTGAATGGACTTGCCGATGACCGGTACCAACGGTGTCAAGTTTGACCTCTGTGGAGGAGGAGGCTCACAAAGGATGCTACTGAGCAGCCCCAGGCTAGATGCACTTCTGTGACGACTGGGGAGTTGGAGGCAGTTGTAGAAGTGATGCTCACACCAACCATCGAAACGCCGGGCGAATGAAACGCAGCAAAAATTTGCAGTGGGGAGCACAAGTGGTACATCTGCCCGTCAACTCATGGTATCCGGGTCGGTCTCATAACCTCCTGCCAGCAGCGAGCCTTCAAATTCAAATCACGGCCTCAAAGCACACCTAGCCTGGCACAAGCACTGTGGAAATGTCACTGCCACTTCGTGGTGAATGGTGGCTGTTATTATTGTCCTGTGGTTTTGCTTTTCAGAGTGGATGTGCGTATAAATGTGTGTTTGTGAGTGTGTACTATCGTGTGTGTGTGTAGTCAATTGCCTTTAACAGACTTTTGGGACAAGCGTTATTCGTGAACACCTATGGAGACCGGCACGGCACACAAGGGGACCGGTGGCTAATGCTACGCCTGGCCGCCTTTGTCTCCCCAGTGCTGATGTTTACACACCGCACCAAGTAATAATTTAAGGCTGAGTCGACCTAGGGGAGGCCCAGGAGTGGTTCAAATACTAATTACTGTTATTGTTCATGAGCAGGAAGCAAACTCGGGTCGTCGGGTTCTTAGCGCAGCGCGTTAACGGCCACATGATTAGTCTGCACACACACCTACATACGCGGTCACACTCACGCGCGCGCGCCACGCTCACATCCGCGTGCGTCACACTCACCACGCGCCACCAGGGCTGCCCCTGCATGGAGATGTTGTAGTCCACGTAGCAGGACACCTCCTGGCATGTCGGCGTTATCGCTGCCGCCACGTTGTGACTGCGCCCACGAGACGGGGGTCGGGAGGTGAGCGCCCGCACCCCCAGAGACGGCGAGCGTGGCGCGTCGTGTGTGGTATGCTGCTGCTGCTCCTGCCGCTGCTGCTGTGGCGATAAGGGTGGTGCGGTGTGCCGTATGCGGGGTGGTGTATCGTGGTGTAGCGAGGTGTGGGACTGTGTCGTGTGGCACGTGTCGTGTTATCCGACGTGGTGTAGTGTGGCGTATTACGTGTGGTGTGGTGCAGTGTGGTGGTACAGAGTGGTGGCTTGGTATGGTGGATATCGGTGTAGTGGATACTGATGTAGCAGTGCTCCAACGGTGTAGCCGGCACCTGTTGAGGAGCTTTGTCGAGATGCCGTGGAGGAGCTGCACGATGTCACCATGCCGCACGGGGACCGGGGGAGAGTCGACCACCAGGGACTGACTGCACCGCACACAACCACACAAAAATGATTAATATCACAAGACAAAAATACACCGTGTAGCCTTAGCAAATGCTGATTGCGAGTAGCACTTATGAAGGCTGGCACAGCATGAGAGGGATGGGTGGCTAGCATCACACCTGGCCACCCTTGCCTCCCCAGTGGCGATGTTTACTACACACTACACCAGGTACTCATTTAAGACTGAGTTGACCTAGGGGAGGCCCAGGACCGGTTAAGATATTCGTCAGTGCGCCAAGCACTGTACCACCGCTCCCCACTAACGTCATACACACCACAAATACTATACCCACCGTGCACCCCACACCCACCATAGCAACACAACAGGGCCCCGTGTGGTGAGTATCAGGTGGTGACGAGTTACCCGTGTGGAGAGGAGTCACCTGTGCGGTACCGAGTGGTGACGACTGGGTGGTAAGTAACAACCCGTGTGGTGACGATCGGGTGGACCGGATTGGGTGGCGAGGACTGTGCTGTGAAGGGTCACCTGTGTGTTGAGGATCGGGTGGTGACAAGTCACCTGTGTGGGTGCTTGATGATCCACCAGTTGTTGATGTCCTTGTATGGGTAGCACGTCACCTGCTGCTGGTGGGAGCTGCCTCGCCCGTCCGCGTACCTGGGGGTCACGAAGAGTCACGGTGGGGGGGGGGGGGGTAGGTGAATGTGTGTGGGTTATTGCATAGACCAGTGACAATTATCTGAACCGGTCCTGGGCCTCGCCTAGGTCGACTCAGCCTCAAATGAGTGCCCGGTGCGGTGTGTAAACATCGCCACTTTGGAGAGAAAACCCACCCCTCGTGTGCCGTGCCGGCCGTCATAGGTGCTTGTGAAGAGCACTTGCCCCAAAAGTATGTTGAGGCTATATTGGAATCTTTGTTATATGAGTCAGTGTGAGTATGTCAGTGAATGAGTGTGTGTGAGCGAGCGGGTCAGTGAGTATACAAGTCTGTTGAACTTCTTTCACATCGTACGTAGCCAATGGTGCTGTGCGAGTGAGCGAGCGAGCGAGACGCACGTGATGGGGTAGACGTCAAAGTGGGAATGCAGCCAGCAGGGGGTGTGCGCGCTGCGCAGCGTCACTTGCGAACCAAACGCCACCTCCAGCGGCTGGCCCTGAGTGATGCGAGCCAGCCCACCCTGCACACACACACACACAAAGAACCCCCCCCGTATAACCTCTACTAGACTTTTGGTGCAAGCGCTTTTAGTGTGCACCTATGAATGCACGGCATACGAGGAGGTGGGTGCCTTTGTTTCTCCAGTGGTGATGTTTGCACACCACACCAAGTACTCAGATGAGACTTTCTGTATGTTTTCCCCATGTTCCCCCCGTGTCCCCCCCGTGTGTTTCCCCCCATGTCTCCCCGTGCATCTCCCCGTGAGTTTCCCCCCATGTCTCCCCATGCGTCTCCCCGTGTGTCTCCCCCCATGTCTCCCCGTGCGTCTCCCCGTGTGTTTCCCCCCATGTCTCCCCGTGCATCTCCCCGTGAGTTTCCCCCCATGTCTCCCCATGCGTCTCCCCGTGCGTGTCTCCCCATGCGTCTCCCCGTGCGTCTCCCCCATGTCTCCCCGTGCGTCTCCCCGTGTGTTTCCCCCCATGTCTCCCCGTGTGTCTCCCCCCATGTCTCCCCATGCGTCTCCCCGTGCGTCTCCTCCCATGTCTCCCCGTGCGTCTCCCCGCGTGTCTCCCCCCATGTCTCCCCGTGCGTCTCCACGTGCGTCTCCCCCCATGTCTCCCCGTGCGTCTCCCCCCATGTCTCCCCATGCGTCTCCCCGTGCGTCTCCCCGTGCGTCTCCCCGTGTGTCTCCCTGTGCATCTCCCCGTGTCTCCCCCCATGTCTCCCCGTGCGTCTCCCCGTGTCTCCCCCCATGTCTCCCTGTGCGTCTCCCCGTGTCTCCCTCCATGTCTCCCCGTGTGTCTCCCCCCAGTCTCCCCGTGCATCTCCCCGTGTCTCCCCCCATGTCTCCCTGTGCATCTCCCCGTGCGTCTCCCCCCATGTCTCCCCGTGCGTCTCCCCCCATGTCTCCCCCTTGCGCGTCTCTCACCTTGAGTGAGGCCTGGAAGGCGCTGCTCATGAGGTGGTCGTGGGGCCCCGCGTTTTGCAGCAGCTGCAGGTGAAGCCAGAAGGTGGCGACGTAGAGTAGCAGCGGCAGCAGCAGGAGCCCGGCCACCCGAGCCACCACGTGCGCGCACACGCACAGCTACACAAGCAGGCACGTGCGTGTGTGTGTGTGTCAATACACAAACACACACAAAGGTTACAGACACACACAAACATAACTGCGCTCACACTGTTATTTGTCGTGAGTGTAAATCAAACTCGGACTGACTGGGCTTGTCGCGTTGTGTGCTTAATGACTACACAAACGCTTCGGACTTTTATAGACACACGCAGTCTTGCATTCCATGCATATCCTATGTCATTTCTGTTGTCCCGTGTCCCTGTGTCCCCCTCTCTCCATGTCTCCGTGTTCTGTGTCCCCTTCTCTCCACGTCTCCGTGTCTCACGTGAGTCAACGTGCGATCTCCTGCCAGACGCCATATGTCGCTCGCCGCCAGTACGCACACCAGCAGAAGGGTGAGAACACCCGTGTATTTCACCCTGCGTACACACACACAGCAGAGTGAGTGGGGCTGTTTCTACAGGGTAGGTCAAGCAACTTGGAGGTTGGGAATAGAACATTACAGTAAAGCATTGTAGTTATAATCGGCAAGAGGAGGTGGCATGGGGTGGGACTTGAGCAGATTTGAGAAGGGTAGTGTTAGTGGTTAGGGATAATGTGGTAGTGATACTGGTACTGAGTGGTAGGGATCGTCGTAGTGTTATTTGTAGGGGCAGTGTTAGCAATAGCAGTTGCAATAACAATACCGGTGTGCTATACCAGTAACGAATTGGCATGTTCTGTTTACGTGACAAATCTTACTAATTGGCTGTGTCGGTTGGTGGCGGGTTTAACGACACAATTATATATTTACGCGATCTAACCCAAAAACCTCTCTTATGGATAATATGGGCCGCAAAATCCTACATCAAAAACCCTACTACCAAGCAAAATTAAAAATTTATAACCAAAATTAAGAAATGGCACCAAAACAAAAAGCATTTTAGTGGCAGGGGTCGCGTTGGGGCTACGGGATCTTACCCAATCGCGAGTCCGCATGCCGTTCCCGTGGCCAGCAGCCACCCCCACCAGCTCACCGAAAATGACCTGCGGAACGAACACAAATGACAAAAACAAAGATCCCCCACATAGCCTTTAACAGTCTGTTGGGGTAAGTGCTGTTCACAAGCACCAATTAAGGCTAGCACAGTGCACGGGTGGGTGTCAAACACCACGCTGGGCAGCCTTTGTCTCCCCAGTGCCGATGTTTACAGACCGCACCAGGTACTCATTTGAGGCTTAGTCGACCTAGGCGAGGCCTAGGTCCGGCCCAGATAATCATCCCTGGTGTTGACTGTGAGCGGGAATTGAACACGGGTCGCCAGGTTCGTAGTGCAGCGTGCTAACCGCTACATTACAGCTCTTCCCACAGAAACACACACATGATAACACTATCAAACATATACACACGCACACAAACACCGTTTTTGGCTGGCTCAACGCACCTGTGCTTGGCCAATTTGCTCTAATTCTAACCACTACCCTCCCCGTGACTCTGCCCCTAACCAACTCGAACCCCAACCGGTGTAGGCACTGCAGGTGCCCGTACCGCGCTGCGCGGAGTTTCAGGGCGCACAGCACGGAGAGAAGCGAGAAGCAGATGAGAAGTGGCTCCAGCAGCACGAAGCGAGACTGAGTCAGCAGCGCATTGTCTGTTCACACAGACACACAGGCACAAAGACATAGAGACACACACATAGATATACACAAAGACCACATTGTCTATGCACACACAGAGACGAAGATATACACACAAAGATATACAGAGACACACTTAAAGATATATACACCACGCATAGATATATACACATACACAGTCCATTGCCTGTACACATACACACTGGGTATGTTGATACGAGTCTGAATATCACTGGGTTAGGATCTAGGTGGGTTTGCATTGGTCTATATGAGTCTGGGTGGGTCCGGGTGGTTATTGTTGAGGCTGGGTTGGTCTGGATGCCTCCTTGTGGGTCCCCATGGGTCCCTGTTGGTCCCCGTGTCCCTCCTTGTCTCCCCATGGGGCCCCCTTATCTCCCTGTGGGCCCCGTGTCTCCCCATGTCTCCCCATTGGTCCCCGTACCCATGAGCATCAGCAGGCCGGCGAGGAAGGCACCGAGGGGAGAGAGTCCAAGCTGCGACGAGATGAGGTAAGCGAGTGGCACGGTCAGTGCCCCGCACAACGCCGGCACGGCGCGCAGGGCGCGCACGGGCACTGCCGCGTTATACTCTACAGGGAGAAGCACGGGGACAAGTGGGGAGACACGGGTTAGCACGGGGAGATGTACGGAGGTACGGGGAGGCATGGGAAGACATGGAGATGCACAGGAAGGCACGGGGGGATACGGGGAGACAGATAGGCAGGTACGTAGATGGTAACTTCATAGATTGACAGGTAGATTCTAGATAAGCAGGTAGATAGTCTAGAGAAGGGAATGTAGTTAGAACATGAGTCTGTGTTTATGCTATGAAGACAGGAGAGAGGATTGGGGAGAAATGAGAAGAGGTAGAAGGAGCGGGACAAATGGGGGGGAATTCCCCCCCTGGACTTGTCACCTGCTCCAATTCGCTCCCACGTGAAGTTTCCATTGAAGTCACCCAGGTATGCTGTGGGGGCGGGAGACACGGGGAGATGTGGGTGGGGGAGGAATTAGATAGGTGAGACATGGGGAGATATCGGGAGGCACAAGGGATATTATGGATATATTGCCGAGCGGATTGGTGCAGACACTTGCAAACGAACGAGCACAGCTGGTAGTCAACCCTTCAGAGCACGAGGCAATTGCGAAGAAAGGCAGAGATTGGCACAGTCTATCGTGGTTTTACAGTGGGCAGGTGCCATGTAGCTTGTACCCAGTTAGGTCGTTTCCGAGTACTGTAGCATTCAACGTTGGACCGCGACGTGACACCCACACCATGGCCTACTCTTTTTCGAATACCTTCACGGGATCTTTCACGTCCACTGCGAAACAGATCACGCTCAATAACCATATTCGGTACACCCGCATTATTAACCAGGTCGGCCGCATTGCTCGAACCGCGATCCTCTGCAATGATCGGCATGCCACCGCTCCGCTTAGGTAGCCATATGTTGTGGCACACCGTTAGGTTGGAGGGTTTATATCCGGTTTGAGCAACGAGGTAAACATGGTGGTACATTTCTTCGCAAACACTTTTGAAGAGACAAGGAGGAGACACCGGAAGATACGCAGCAACAACGGAGTCACACGAAGAGACAGGAAGAAGTAGGGCAACATAAGGTGACAAAGAAAAAATGTGGTTGCACAGGGGTCACACAAAGAGATAAAACGAGACACGGGTGACACATAGAGACACAGAGAGATGTAGGGTGACACAAGGAGACACAGGAAAACAGCACGGGAGATGAATGCGATCACAAATTTGTGTAACATGTGTTACACACGTGTTACACGTGGAAGGCGACTGTCTTCAACTGCCTTGTGTGTTAGACGTGTGTGTGTGCTCATACCGCCCAGCGCCAGCAGCATGTGTCCGAGCGGAGGCCCACTGTGATCCACGAAGAACACCCCATTCACATAGAGACTCACAAACTGCCCGTAGTACACTTCGTCAAATCTGTACGCACAGAGACACACGTATACATAACTTCGCAAACATATAGAACAGGCGCTATTATCGACTTCGTGGAAGAGGCATCACCGCAGTGATTGTACCTGGGTAGGTGCACTTCAAGACTATCACGTGAAGTGTAAAAGGCTCACTGCTGGCGGGTCACGGGACAGACCCAGGTGCCATGGGTTGACTGAGATGACTGACAGATGCACTGCCTGTGTTCCCCGCTTTGCCACCTTGCTGCGTTTTAGCCACCCGTCGCTCCACGCGTTGTTGTGAGCGGCGCTCCTCTGTCTCCAACTGCCCTGTAGCCTCAAATCGCAACTTAGCCTGGCACTGCTCAGTAGCGTCCTTCACGAGCCTCCTCCACAGAGGCCGATCTTGACACCACTGGTGCCAGTCAATCATTTGCAAGTCCACTTAATTCCACAGCATAATGTCATAATAAAATAAAATACGTTGTCGATTTTCACGATAGGATGTTGTATTTCACATTGTTATTGCATGCATTGTTTTTATGCTTGGACATAATTTCAGTGCAGGGGGAGACGACAGATGAACGGAAAATAAATCAAAGGCTGAAAAAATACACAAAGCTGCGTGGGGGAGGGGGTATATGTTTGAAATTAGAAAAAAAACAGTAAAATATAAAGAACTCCACGCAGCAGTATATTACGGAATAATTACAGAAAGAGGAACACACGGACCAGAGAACAAATCGGAGACATCATTGAGATTAACAATTGACTTTTGGGTTTGGTTGGCGAACCAAAAAAAATATATTACGGTTTCGATGTATTAACACTTGCTGCAACAACAAAAACACCTCTCACGTTAATGTTACATATCGTAGTGACTTAAGCAAGAAGGTCGCTTTGGCAAGACACAAAACTGCTCAACGGGATGATGACCGAAAATGTGACTGGACATGGGGTGACAGCCAGCACGAGATAACGAGCAGAGGATTTCGGCGATAAATACACTGCCATCGGGGAGCCTAGATGCTATGTTTGGCTGTGTCGTCAGCAATTATTGCGATTTCACACCCTGCACATTGACGTACATTGTCAAAGTTTACTGCTCGTCAGGAACCTTTTACCCCCGATTGAGCAGTATAGACGAGGTGGTTGACTCTTTATAGGCATGCGAGCTTGTATTTTGTTTTAGTGCCCTGCATTGCAACCCACCACGAAAAAAAGGTTGCACTCCGATCATACCAGTCACGCTCATTACACACATTACGTCGACTGCACGCACGACTCAGTACAAGTCGAATACATATACAGTATCACTAAATTGCACATACTACATACACCGTGCGCATCACAAATCATAATTTTAAAAAACCCGTCGTTCGCCACTAAGTGACGGGGACGTCACCACAGCGCTTGTGCCAGGCTAGGTGCACTTTGAGGCCACTTTAAGCGTCGAAAGCTCTCTCCTGGAAGGATGTCATGGGACGGACCAAGGTGTTATGGGTTAACTTAGATGGCTGGCAGATGCACCACCTGTGCTCCCCATTGTGCCAACTCGCTTGATTTTAGATGTGCTCGTTGTTTTTGGAGCGATTGCCATGTTTCATAATGCCACCGTGTCTTCCTGTGTTTATGTCTTTAACGTGTCGCCCCGTGTCGCCCTGTCAGTGTCTCTCTGGCTCGCTCCCCCACCCCCTCTCTCTCCCTCCCGGTGTCTCCCTGTGTCCCCATGCGCCCCCCTCGCCACCCCATCTCTCTCTATCTGTATCCCCACGATCCCCGGAGTTCCGCCCGTCTCCCCCGACGTCTCCCCCACTCACACCACGGCGCCAGGGTACGCGAGACCCCCTAGCCGGCTCCACAGCGCCAGCGCCGTGAGCAGCACGAGGCCCACGTCCACCTCGGCGCTTAGCCGCACGGAGAAAGGCCGCTTGGGCAGCGCCAGAGTAGTCTCCATGCCTCCCCGGAGTGCGGCGGCCGCGATTCGTGGTCCTTCTCTCCAAGCGCAACGACCTCGCCTGGCTCTACTGCCCGAACCGCGCAGTGAGAGCCGGGGGACGGGCAGGCTTCTGTTCCCCTTGAGAAGCAGGCCGGAAGAAGTTGAAGGGTGTTACGGAAGCCGTGATGCGGATCGCGATTTTTTTTTAAAACGCGTTTTGAATGGGAATAACAATCACGTTCCAGCTGCGTGTTCAAGGGACAAAAATGCATTCAAATTACCCCAGGAAATGTAATGCATAGCTGTGAACCCATATACGGTTTACCCCGTATTCTTGTACAGGGAAATTGAGTTTTCAGGTCCATGCGGCGTACAGCCGTTTCAATGCGGGCAAAAGAAGTGGTTTATTTGTTTGTGTTTCTTCCTTGTGATGGGACTTTGTAGGATGAACGTTGAAATTTATAAGGACACGAGATAACCAATAGGGTCTGAATAAGGTCGGCACTGATTAGGGGGTGACAGGTATGGTAATGTGAATGCAAATAACCAATAGCCATTTAACGTGGCACTTAAGTATAAATTACCAGTCACAGCGAGGAGGTGTGTAATTCAGTTAACACGTAGAAATTATAAACGTTAATGAAATGCCACGTACTATTTGAATTACATCATTTGGACGCTTAATTTCGCACTCACTTTTCCAGATCCACTGGTGAGACTCGAGTAAAATGAACAGCAGTAGCCACGGCCATAGCGAGGAGAGGTATGGGGCCGTCCATAAATGACGTCAAGCGATTTTGGACGAGTTTTGACCCCCCCCCCCTCGTCACACGGCGTCACAAAAAGTCCGACCCCCCTCAAATTTGACGTCACAAAGCTTTCCCCCCCCCAAAAAAAATGTATAAAAGATGCTTCAAATCGCTTTAAACTATTGTCATTGTAATTGCGTATTTAATGTGCCACTGCACTCTGATGTTGTAGTAGAAAACATTTATTAAAAAGTCTCTTTAAGTAGAACGTATTGTTTATAGTTGCGCATTTTGATGTGACGTCACATTTCTCAACCCCCCTCCTCCCTCGTCACACATCGTCACAAATGTCTGACCCCACCCCTAGGTGCGTGACGTCATTTATGGATGGCCCCTATGTGGGACGTGGTGTGCCGGGTAGGGAAATACGTTTACGGGTCGCCGATCCCGACTGAGCCAGCTGACGCGAAGCCGTGCGTGCTAACACGTGTGACACCCACACGTGTGTGGATGTGACACCCACACACGTGTGGCGTGTATTTGACGGGAGAAGTGTGAATTTCAAAAGTAAATTTGGGAACAGCTTTTGTTCCTGGAAATGTATTTCAGTTAATATCCGATGTTTGTGCACTGTTTTCCATTTATACTCTGAACGAAGTTATTTTTGCACCAATGTATATCTGGTTTGATGTCTATCCCATTGTTATCTCTTTCATCTTTGTTGCATTGCTGTGCTAGTTTTTATCTTTAAAAAGTCAGTTTGATGACCCGGGTGATTGTGGCACCTGATTCAAGAGCCGAATGGCTCACAGGGCTATACCAAATAAATGGAACTATGAACTATGACTCATCCTCGTCCCTCGGAGTGCTCACCCGGTTACACAAAATAAACTTGAGCCACCAAAACGCGCGTTGCACATTTATCTGTCACAAGTGTCTACTGATTGCCGAAGACGGACCGCGCAATGATTAACCAACCGACACCACCTCTCCCAAGGTTTATGACCTCTTATTTTTAACAACAATATAACAACTCCACAAATTCATCATCTACAAACGCCAGATGATCCGAAAGTTGCACCACCAGACTCCTGAATGAGATCACATCAGCCCAGCGCTCCAATCCATCCACTGGCTCCCAATCCCATTCCAAATCAGTTTCAAGATCGCAATCTCCGTCTTCAAGATCCTCCGTGGACTCGCCCCTGGAAACTTCTCTCACCTCACGCTACCCCCCCACCCCACTCTCATATCTCTTCCCTCACGCTACTCCCCTCCACACACTCTCCTACCCCTACCCTATCATCTCACTCTACTCCCCTCCACAAACTCTCCTACCCCTACCCTATCATCTCACTCTACTCCCCTCCACGCACTCTCCTACCTCTCCCCTCTCATCCCACTCTACTCCCCTCCACGTGCTCTGCTCCCTCTCCCCTATCATCTCACTCTACTCCCCTCCACGCACTCTCCTACCCCTACCCTCTCATCCCACTCTACTCCCCTCCACACACTCTCCTACCTCTCCCCTATCATCTCACTCTACTCCCCTCCACGCACTCTCCTACCTCTCCCCTCTCATCCCACTCTACTCCCCTCCACGTGCTCTGCTCCCTCTCCCCTATCATCTCACTCTACTCCCCTCCACGCACTCTCCTACCCCTACCCTCTCATCCCACTCTACTCCCCTCCACAAACTCTCCTACGTCTCCCCTCTCATCTCACTCTACTCCCCTCCACGCATTATCCTATCCCTACCCTATCATCTCACTCCACTCCCCTCCACACACTCTCCTACCCCTACCCTCTCATCTCACTCTACTCCCCTCCACACACTCTCCTACCCCTACCCTCTCATCTCACTCTACTCCCCTCCAAGTTTTCTCAGCTCTTGGAAGAGGTTCGGAGTACCCACACTTTACCCCACCACACACAACCTATCTGATCTACTAACTGGTGTAGCCAATATACTCATGGGTGTAACGAGACGACCGGTGGTGGGTGAGGGTGTAGTGAGTTAAGGGTCTCAGCCCGATCATAAATTACTTACAAAGATAACCCATAGAATCCTGATTTGAAGTTTTCGTGACTGCAGGAATCCATACTCTTTGGTTCTTTCGGTAAAGTCACGTAGGCAGAAAATTAATAGATCACGACGTTTCGATCGCAACACAAGCAATCGTCATCAGGTTGGACAACCACAGCAAGAAAACACTGCTGAAGTAGGCGAGAGCTCTCTTATTTTTCTACCTACGTTACTTTACCGAAAGAAGCAAAGAGTATAGACCCCATATATTTACATAGAGTCGCCTAAACCTGGCAAGTCCTGGTGCAAATCACCCATCTGAGCATTAACCAGAGATTTAGGTCTCCCTTGTATGTATGTTGAACTTCTTTCGCACCCTACGTAGCCAACCGTGCTAATCGGAGGTGCGGGGGAAGGACAACACAATAGACGTGTATCATTAAGGGAATAAGGAATAAGGATCTACATCCACATTGCGCTTGCTTAAAAGTCCCAGCAGCTCATAGCCAGGTATCACGTTCTAGAGGTATCGCGTACTCCGTTTGTTGCAGGAGTTCTTGGTTCGAATCAGCGGCCGTCGTTAATGTGGTGGTAGTAGCCATTAAAATACTACTACGCACCATCTGCTCATCTGCTATTGTGTGCCAGCATCATGGTCCAAATTTGCCACGTTTTGAAATAAATTACACCGTATATTACTCATTGGGGATGATAGAGAAGCAACTATTACCCCCAACTTGCGCAAACGTGGTAGGCCTGCAACAGTCATGACACTCAGTGAAGCGTTAGCTAAAAGAAACAACACATCTCATCTTAACCATTCCCTGCTGCAGTCTCGCCAAGGGAATCCTCAGTGGTAGTAGTCCCTATGCGTTACATGTACACAGGTCCGGCCTGCATAGTCAATTAGTCTGCCAGGAGGGAGCGGTGTTGCTATGTGGCTTTAAGATGAGAAGACTGGCTTAACTGTCGAAATAAATAAAGACCTTGATATCTGCGTCTCAAAAACCTCTCGGGTACTTCTCGACAAGGTAGAAGCTAGAAATTTGCTACAAAGGTAGCTTATAGGACACAAACCACAGGAAAAAAATCTGAAAATCCGAAATTTTTAATTTTAAGGCCCACAAATCTCTATTTTAAGTGCCCCGTAACATGTTCGCGCGTGTCATTCAAAACCCGTTCAAGATATGATTGCGTTTTTTTTCGTTTGATAAAGCGTTAAACAGCAAATACAATTAAAGCGATAACCGTGTCTCTTATCCGTCGGCCCTATGTCCGACGAATAAGAGACACGGGGGCCAAGGTCCAGGCAGTGAAGACACCAGAGTATAACTGACCCTGCTCAGAACCAGATCCAGGCTGTGTGTGTGTGTCACATTGGCACGTCACTCACTAATACGTCAACCGCACAATTCCGACAACCCTCTCTTGAAATCCTTCACCCGTCAAGAGTCTCACAGATGGCGCCTGCCTAAATCATCTTACCCGTCAGCTTTGTCACTCACGCTCACGATCACCCACACCTGCCTGTGCGTCCATCGCTCGCTAACCATGACCTTCGCCGTGCCCTTCGCCTTGACCCTGATCTTCACCCTGACCCTGGTCCGTGACCCCGCCGCGGGGTTCTACCCGAACCAGGCCTCCCTGGGCACGTATCTGGCCAACCACACGGACGAGTCCGTGACGGAGACCGGGGCACTGAGGGCTGTGGCGAAGTTCCTCGAGGGCAAAGCGGGACTTGCGCCGGGTGCCTTGGAGGGTCTCTCGCCGCTCACGCCGGCCACGCTCATCGGGGCGTACTACCAAGGTGAGAAGGTGCGGGGAGGTGATGGGAGCGGGTCGGTGTGGTGATGGTGGGGGGAAGGTGAGGGGGATAAGAGATGAGCCGCAGGGAGATATCGGGAGGCTATGGGAGAGACGCTTTGGAGACGAAGGACGAGAGGGGAGAGAGGAGAGGTGGTGAGATGGTTGTGGAGAGGGGATTGATTGGCGAGGTG